GCTGCTTCTGTCATGGATGAAGGACATTCTGTGTATGGGCTCACACAGCTGCACTATTCCATCCTGTTAAAGCATAAAGTGACTGAAGCCACCTTATGCCAGCAGCCTCTCTTGCCATTCCTGCCACACAAGAGCCTTCCTCTACAAAGAGATGTCAAGAGTTCCAACAACCAGTGCCCTCAGTTGTAGCCTAAAGGAGGTTCAGACAGCACAAGGAAAAGTAACATAAGAATCAAAACCATGACATCTCAAACCTGGTACCACATCTATCCCCTCCAAAACTCATAGACCTCTATCTGCTTAGTTCAAAATGGTAGAGTCAAGTTAAATGTCAGTTTGGTTTTTTTCCTGAAAGGTAAGTGAAAATATAAAGAAAAAAGTTCAAGGTTGTTCTCAGAAAATCAGTTCTCATTTTAGGAGGCTGGATTTATAGAGGATGATATTATTTAGGTTTGGTTTGGTTTTGCTTCTTTTTTAAATTTGTACTTTGTTCTTTACCCACTTGACACATAGCCATGATCTGAAATGCTGAGGAAAGAAATACCTCACAAATTTCTTTTTACTAATTAGCAAGAAGAAAATGCTGCAAAGAAAGTTCTACCTTGAAATACATAATTCTTTAAAGAAAAAAGTGTATGGACAGACAGCAGTGAGAATAAAACTGATCTTAAAGGAATATTCTAAAACTTCTAGAGTCCTGAAAACATAAAACAATCAGAGATCATAGAATACCAGAAGTATAGATAAAAAACAGTGTGTAAAATCTTAAGCAAAGAGGACGAAGAAAGGTAAAAGATCAAAAACTAAGTTAAGCTCAAAGCAGACACCCAGCATAAAGAATAAAAATTTTAGAGTTTATGTAAAAGTTAGTAAATGTTCTTCTGAAGAAATGTTTTGGAACTTTAAGGAAGGTTTGTTCATTTAGTAGAAGCCTTTTATATGTTACTCCATTATTAAGGATTATCAAAGGAATTACAGCAAAAATGATCTTCCTCTAAGTTGAAAAGTTCCCATAGAACGTCCTTTAAAATTAATACAACTTCAAGTCCTTTTGTGAAAGTTGAAAAAGATAAGCCTGAAAATAATACTGTATAGTCTCTATTACAGGGTGCATAAAAAAATAAACAGGATCTGTTTATATCTACTTTCTGTCTAACCAACTTAAGAGACACTGCAGGACCTGAACTAACTCAGCTTTGCAAATTTATTTAAGAAACACTGATAAAAGTTTAAGAAAACTAAGAAAATCTCACAATAAAAACTAGTTTCATAAAATAAAAACAACTTGTGTTTAACTTCAAATGCTCTCCCTTGATCTCTGCATTAGAAACATCACACTTCAGTTTAGTTGCTAATGCTGTACTGTCTATCACTCCAGATAGTGAGCTGCAGAATGCAAATAGTCATAACTGTGAAATAGAGCTCTAAGTCCAGTTACTTGGGATGTAATAAAGAGCAAAGCTGAACTTTGAGAGGACTGGGCAGAGGTCTCTGCACTTGCCATACAGGACAGCAATCTGAACACTGCTTTAATTTTCACTAGCTGCCATGCACTGCTGCTGCTAAGGATGAAAAAGGCAGCTAGGGAAGAACAAAGCCTATGGAAATGGTGCTCAGGCTTTTCCACACCCACATTCCCCTACACAAACATGGAGAGCATGCTGACTGATATATTACTTAATAAAATATCTCAAGGAGTCTCTTTGGTTATCACCATGCTACAGTGCAGCATGATTCCTCAAACTTTCCTTGGGTGACAAGCAATTTTCAATCATGGAGCTCAGTTCAGACACATGTGAACCACCTTCCTCTGAAACAAACCACAGCTTCCCATGGACAGCAGAGCCACCACTGCACTACACCACAGAAGTACAGACACTGACCAACACACAGCTTTGCTACCCAGCTCCCAAAGGCTGAGGAACCACCACTGCTGGAGACCCAGCTGAGCTTCCCAGTTCTGCTTCCTTGCTTTAAACACACGACCACCAAGAGGGCACAGAATCTCAAAATCAGCTGTGCATTTCTGTATTTATTTAAAGAGCCTTTGAATAATAATCAAGAATATCCAAAGCAGCAAGATGACAAAATTTGTCAGCAAATGTTGGAATTATCAGTACAATGAAGAGCTCAGGATCCGCAGGCACTGCACACCTATAATGGGCTGTAGCACACATTTCAGCAATGACCCACACATCACTCCCACCTCCATATTGTTCACAAGTCATTTAATGAGGCATCTACACCTACACTAGATCACAGAATGGTTATAATGCTTAGGGAAGTGCAATGTCAAATTTAAGTATTTTGCAATTAAGGTGCCTGCTAAATCACTTTAATTCCAATAATGTCTCAAAACATCTTTCCTGCCATTCTCAAAGGAGGACTGACATATTTCCCATAAGAAAGCAAATTTTAAAAAAATCTCAAAGCTAAAGCAAGACAATGCACTGAAAAGTCAAAGTTATGTAGATAGAAGCACAGAAGATTTAAATCTGTTCATACCCAAGTCTTGTTCATACCTGAAACTACTGCAAATGCTTGTTAAAAGCTTGGGAAAGATAGGTTAACTTTCTCATTTACTTCTTGTTGAAAGAATGCAACAATAAGAAGCCAAATACCCCAAATCATAGTCCACTACCATAATCACAAAGCATTCTCATCTGTGATCTTCTGAATTACAAACTTAATAGCACAAGCACTGTTCAGGGGCACCATCCTATGTACCAAACCACACAGATTTTGGTAATAAGAACATTGCTGAACTTCAGGCAGTTTTCTGAAAGCTGTTAAAGAAAAAAAGGTGTTGCTTGCCACCAAGTTGCATAGTGGATTCTAAATTATTTTCTTGAGATAACTACACACACACTCCCCTCCCAAAACAAAACAAAAAACCAAAAAACCAAGCACCATCCATAACACACTCAAAACTCTAAAAAGACTGTTGAGCTCCAGCAAGAATTACAAAATTCCAGATCAGCCAACATGTACATGTTGTACATATAGGATGAGGTCCTGCTGTTTGATTTACAAACAAGGGGAAGGGCAGGAGAGTGCTGGCTGCTAGAAGGGTACTTCACAAAGCTCATATGCCTCTTCCTTGCAGGGCCCCTCCAAAAAGGTATCCAACATGGCCAAGAAATCAATTTACAGTAATAGTTGAGTCTGCACTGTAAAATTATTTGGTGAAATGGAAATGGAATAAGACTATAGCTATGCCAATATCCTATGTGTTTAAGCTGGGGAAGAAGGGGTTTATTTGTTTGGGGGTTTCATGAATGTTTGAATACTTGATAAAACAGAAGTTACTGCTGAAAATACCTTGTTTGAAAATGCAGTAGCAGCTGTGTGTTCTACATTACCGTGAAAGCTGATGATATTTTGAATGTAAACCATAATCCCCACAAGTAACAGAGCTCTCTAAATTAAAAAGCTTCAGCACTTGTCTCAGCCAGGAGTGTGCATACAACTGGTAACTGTGGCTGCTGTGGTGAGCACGTGCACACACACACACACACACACACACACACACACACACACATTGGGATGGTGGGGGAAAAAGAGCTAATAATTGTGTCCTACTGATTCAGTGTATGAACTTTTCCTACCTCGAGCAAGATCTCTACAGGAGATACTCACCGCAGAGCCAGATCTGTGGACTTCTGCATCACAAAAGTAGTGGTTCTTTGCTGCTTAGCAGAACTCAGAGAGATTAAAACAAAATGCTTCTTTTCTACATAGTCCTTTTAACAAATCAAGGATTTTGCATGTGACAATAGACAGTTAAACCATTTGTTTCCTTTTTTTATTTCTTTTGGTAAATTAATAGAATAATTTTAATATTAAAAAACTGTTTTACTTGCGAAAGCAATGAGTATTCCTGCTGTAGGCAGCAGCTTCTGAGAAAATAACACATGCAATTAGCAAAGAAGCGATCAGTTGAATATACTCACTCCTTACAAAAGAACACCAAGGAGATTGTCTTATTTTCTCCTCATACTCACTTGCCAGTGCAGCATGTAAAAGCTTTCTCTGCTCAACAGGGTCAAGAAATCTCCCCTTGAAGAATTTAGTAACAAATACAGTGTGCCAGATTTCACAAGAGAATTTATGTGATATATAAAGCAGTAGAAGATGCACTACAACCCAACCCTTCTTTGAGCAGGGACATCCACTGGGAACACTCCGATATCTTGGGAGGAGGAACAGGCAGCCTGACCAGAGGGATGCAAAACCTTTGTCTCCTTCAGCATGAGTAGGCATCTCCAGAAGTGCTGAACAACTCTGCTGGTCAGGTAGGTAGCCTGATCTTTATGATTTGATAAAGAACCTTCTTGTTTCCCCAAACTCATGTGTTTGTGTTTTTTTACCCTTTAAAGCAAGTATTATTACAAAAACTCAATAGCCAAGCCTATAATTTAAGATCCTGCATTTCACAACACACAACTGCTAAACCTAAAAGCTTTTACTGGAAATAGTCCACCTCCTACAGCTTTTTCTAAGAGCAGGGGGTTTTCTGGGCAAGTGAAGAGGATGTGACTACTTCCTGGTAACATCATGAAATCTTTATGTCAGGGAGCATCAGCATTAAAAAAAATGATGAAAAACTTGAGAAGGAATAAATGAGATTCACAAAAGCATATTTCACTTTAACATACTTCAACTTGTTGCTTTGTATGAATGGTTAAAGGCAGTTCCGAAGGCAATGTAACCAAACAATGCAAAACACAATGGCTGCTGGTAAAATTCATATCTTCACAGAAAAATGAGAAACTACATTTCTGGACTTGTACTGTTTACCTGACATGGCTGGAACTGGAAGATTTCAAAAAATTCCACAGTCACAAAGCACACTTGGGGCACGAATGGCAATGGAACCTTCATCCCCTTTTCTCCTTGATACAGTCAACATCTCAAATTAAAAAACAAAACAAAACAAAATACAAAAAAAACCCAACCAAGCAAACAAACAAAAAAAAAATCAAAAGTGTTATACTTACCTAAATCTCTCCATCCAAGGTTGCCCTTTTGCCTAGTTTAAAATACAAAATACTATTTTTAGTTTTTTAGATTCCACTTGATTTCAGGCAACACAAGTTCTGTGTATTTCAAAGGAAAACTTGATAAAACAATGTGAAGATTCGCAGCTTTTCTTTTCTGTTATGAAAAATGCTTAATTTCTCAGTCTCACTATACAAGAGTTTATACTATGCCCATCCTTGTCAATCTAAACTGTCCCAATAAAGGTGGCATCATCAAAAGAGTAAAATATTAATTAAAATATGTTTTTTGACAAATAAAAAGAAACAGCTCTCTTACTTTTATGACAGTACACCAAATACATCATGTATATTTATATTTATTTTGTGTGTATTACCTAAAAAATGAAGCTGTTAGCAAGGAGAAAGATAATTGCATTTCTCTTTTAAAAGTTCACATTAAAAACAGAGTGAGGTTTATGGAAGTGAAGAATTACATGGAACCTATATCAGCAGCAGAGTTTACCATCTACTAAATTAACCCAAATTTAATTCAGGCACTGTGATAATAAGACAATCTACCTGCTCAGCTACCATGAGAATGATACTAATGGAATTACCTAGACAATCTGGACACATAAAATGTATTTTAGTGCCTGTTTCACAGTGAGGTCACCCAGTACTAAAGCCTGATGAACTAATTTTGCTAAGAGATTTCAGCGCTCTAGTTTACAGAAGATTGTGTCACATGAGGAAAATCTCCTGGGAAACTTGGCCCTAGGAAAGAGAATGTCAGTAAGTGAAGATTGCTAAAGCTGTGCAACTGGAAGCTCAAGGCACCACGCTGACAACATAAACAGCTAGTGAAGCAAATGTACTGCAAACCATATTAAAAGTCTTAAAAATTGCATCATGGTGGCCAGTAGATAGTTTTATGTTAACTCTCAAATCACAAGGTAACATGTTATCCCAGCCTTCCTCAGTAGGTGTGGATAACCAGATGGCACTGGCATTAAGCACTGCAAATGGGATGGTCTGAAGGTTTTTCAGAATGGCTCCAGCAAGTCAATATGCAAAAAAAAAAAGGCAGAAAGCAAGCAAGATAACACAAAAACCCCACCAGTTTGCTTTAGTTGTTAGAGGACATTTTTAAAAGTCACAGGGAAAAAAAAAATTAGAAAAGCCGTAGGAAATAACTTTAAAAAAAAGTCTGACAGAATCAGGGGACGCCTGTAACTAATGAGAAAATGCAGGCAAGCTGGAGAGGAAGATCAGGTCAGAAATGCCAGATATGATGGAAGAACTGTATGATGTGACAGTGGAGGCCCTGGAGACAACAGACAAAGACAGAAAAAGGAGAGAAAGAGAGAGTGCTCAAGAGATGGTGCCGAGAGAGAGAAAAGAGCAGGTTTTCTAGCAGAGAGAGGGAGGGGAAAAAAATCTGAGGACCCAGGGAGAGCCAACATATAAGAACCCAAAACTGTTTGCCAAGCCTATTTACACTGATTTAGTCACGCAGAGTTGACAGATCTCAAACTAGGAGCATAGTGGGGAGGGAACAGTGAGGATAAGAATGGGCAAGAAGGTAGATTGGAGATTGCTTAAGTTTTTGAAAGAGCTTTTGCTAAAGCAGTTTAAAAGAAAGGTGGTCCACCATATGCAGCAGAGATCTTGTGAAGGATGAAAGGAAGAAAGAGCGAAGCTACAGATCATGCTGATGCCAAACAGACAATGAACATTGAGAAAGCAGCCTCGGAAAAACTAGAGAAAACACTAAATCCAAAAGAGAGGGATAAGAAAGGCCACCCAAGAACACAAGGAATCAAAGTACTAAAGAACAGCAGATTAGAGGACAGAAAAGAGATTGCAGATCAGTGGCCAGACGCAGAGAAATCTCATTTTATAATCTGTGTAGCCTGAAGGGCAAACAGGCAATACAGAGCTAGAAAATAAGTATAGTTATAATACCGTACAAGAAGGAATCAAAGTACCATTAAGAATGTCCATGAAACAGTCATGCCACAAATTCCAACAGAAATTAATTAAAAAGTTATTTTAAAAAGGAGTCAGGTCTATGACAAGGAAAAGGAAAGCATTATTTAGTTCACTCTCCACATGTAAAACTATTTTTAATGGGGAAGCATCACGCTTTCAGCTTGTCTTCTGGACTTCAAACACTCTTGATTTTCTTCACAGACAGTACAGCATGTCAGCAGAAGTCAAACAGCTACTCAGAATTTAAACAGCACTAAAACTTACATTAGAATAACATACACTGCATTGCATTATACTTCACTAGACTTTTCAGCACCAAAGAAACCCAGTTGTTTAATGAACACTGGGTAAAAAATAAAAACAAACCAATCAATTTCCCTCCCTTAAATCCACAAAGAAACAAACCCATCACAAAACAAGCAGACAAAAAGGCCAACCCCAAAACTTCCCAAGTTCAGATCTTACTGTGGAGATCCCAGCTTCAGAGAGAAAGAAGGGTTGTTCAGCATAGGGTCAGGAGGTCCCACAATTAAATAGGGAAAAGGACATACTTTTGCTTCAGAGAAGTTAGAATTTACAGTAAAGGAGAAAAAATCAAACATTTCTCACAAACCAAAATGAATCACAAAAATTAAACAGAACTATATTAAAGTATGAAAATAACCAGGACCACTTTAAAAAAAATAAAAGGTTAAGGGAACAGCTGTAATATGAAGATCATTAGATGAGTCTTGAGCATTTGAATGAGAGGATTAGGAATCTAAGGAGTACACACAGCTGGTTTTATTGAGAAATGTTACCTCCTCATACATAACAAAAGCATTGTTAGTGTATCCCTGCAAGAGGGGGAAAAAATCAAGACTCAAGACAGAGGAGGGCCACTTTTGAGCAACAAGTGTTTACAGGATTTAAGCAGTAACCACAAAGGAGTACTTTTGATAGAACTCAAAAGCCTCAAAGTGAAGCAATCCCCCACCCTTGCTGTTACAGGGAGCATCACAAACTGTCCATTATCAGAAAGAAATCTTCAGTGTGAGCAAGATCCTTGTATCAGGCCTCTCCTGAATCATAATGCTTATGTCCCTAAATAATGTGAAGTATTGACTCCGTGGTAATTTAAAAATAAGTAACTTAAATGACAAACATGTGAGCATACAGAAAAGGATTTAAAAACCAGATGCTGGTGACAGCTACAGATCTGTGCTGCTAAAGCTCATAGCTGTAACACTTTGTGTGTGAGACAATGGATCTTATGAAGGGAACAGGGAAAAGCAGCTGAAGGTCTAGATTCTGGCATGCATACAAGCTGAGTGAAGGAACACATCACTTCTCACCCAGTCCTACACTGGTGAAGACTTCATTCTGCTAGAGACCAGGAGAGTTTTATAACAGCTGTTCAGCAATGGGTGTAGTGCATTACTGCATCTTTTAAAAAGCAAAATAATCACCCATTGAACTGCTAGTTTTGTAACTAATTTATCACATGTCTTGTCTTTCTTTTTATACACAATAACACACTAACCAAAAGCTAATTCCACCTCAGACTTGTTTCTAAAAAACTCGTTTCCACAAAGTCCCTAATGCAGACACAAAGAGCTGAGTGTGCACCACCAAATGTGGATGAGTTCATACTGACCTGTCTCATACATTGAGTTGTCTCAAGAGTGACAAAAGACTTCCTAATTTAATCAACCCTGTGTAACTGCAGGCTACCACCAAAGGGATGGTTCTAATCCCATATTTTCCTCTCTCAAGCAACAGTAGATTTCCAGTCCCTCCCTCACACAGGATGTGCACACCATGCAATCATAACATGACTCAGTTTAGTTCATCTGCATGACAGAAGACTCTACTTCTGTTTAATTCTGAGGATGGCTATCCATCAGACCAGCTTCCTGAACCAATCTTTCTCCTTTCTGCTGCCACAGCATCACTAGAGTTTGTGCAAAGGGAGAAATGAGGCAAACAAGCAGAGTGGTAGCAGAAACAAGCAGTGCAGCCCTTTTCACCAGGAGACAGCATTTACTCCAAGAAAGGTGAAATAAGAAATTACTCTGAAATACAGGTGCCTGTATTTCTGTCCAAAAATATATGCCTGTAATGCCAGGATCTGCACAGTGAGTCACAGCTAAGTGCAGTATTAGCACACTTTACTTGCAGTCTCCCACGGAAACTTCTTTCCTCACTCATTTTCTTGAGTAACAATTCAGTTTCCAAATCCTGGTTTCACTTTACAGTATATAGTTAATAGCATCATCAAATAAAAACTAGCAATGACATGACATGTGCAAAACAAATTCAAAAAGAGTGCTTTTAGTTTGCATTTATTTGTATGCCTCTGTCCAATTTCTACTCTGAAGCAGACACACTTGTGTGTTGCATGAATTACCTGGCACTGGCTATTGAGCCTTGCTTTTATTCCCTAGTTTGTAAAGGACAAACAATTATTTACAACTGTTGAGAATTTCTACGCTATCTTATAAACAGAATGAATACTAGACTAAGTGTTCCTATCACTGTTGTCACACGAAGCAAGAAAACTCATCTTTGCCCTATAATATGGAAGTAGGAGCCATGTAGGAGCACATTAAATGCTGTGAAGGCCTGTCCAGAGTTGAACAGAACTACCTGTGCAGAATCACCTGTCCACAGTTACCTCAGAGATGCAGTGAAAGACCAATGACAAAATACAAGCCACCCACAAACCAGAATCCAAACCTCTGCAAAGAACAAGACCAGCATGCAAGAGACACAGCTGTAAGATCTAGCTGTCCCTCACATAAAAAGAATCTATATGTGCACTGGAAATTCACACTACCAGCTTGTGCACCTCCTCAGTTGGTCTGCATTGCCATTCTCACACAGGAACATATTTGGGTTGAAAAAAATGCAGCCTCTTTGGAAAGGCTGTTTTGTGTCACTGCAAACATCTGTTGCTTATATTACTCCCTGTAGGAATAAGCCTCCTACAGGAACCTAAAATCACTGGATGAGCTGGAATACTGCAGTACAAAACACATCCAGAGGACAACCCCCTTGCCTACTTTGGGGCAGTAGGGTTCACATGGAACCACCCTGGGGCTCAGGGACAGCCTCAGCATGAATATATACATATATATATATATACACATATACACAGGCACACTAGGACCTGCTTTTAATACCTAACCACCAAAGTCCCAGAAAAGTTGATTTGTGGCTAATTGTTCCACATAGTAAACATCGTCCCTGTCCTAAGAAAGCTTCTACAAACTTTTCTTCAAAAGATCACATCTTGACCATATCAGATCTTCACACCAGGTTTGTTTTTCTTAATCAGTCTTCATAACATAAATCCTTCCTTCTGTCTAAAGCAAATCTCTTATTCTCATTCTGACAGACCCCTGTTTTTTTCTCTGGTAACTTTCAGCTTTTTTCTCCCACTATATGTCAGCACCGCTCATGTTTTTCTGTATCTTCTCCTTTTCCACACTAGTTATTAAGGCAACCTAACCCTTCTTAAGACTACACATTTATTTTATTGATTCCTCATCTCAGCTCTCCCTATCTACCTCTGTGTATCTGACATTTTCTGACTCTTTTTTCTGGATATCCCACCTTTGCTTTCAGCTCACTAACTTAAAAATCAGAGTACTTATTCTATTTTTGCTGTGCTTCATTTGCTGCTTTCCTTAACAATACTGTCTGCCTGCTTACCTTCTTGATTTCATTTCAACATTTAAAACTTCACAAAATAGGCTTAGAACTGTCTTGCATAAACTATAGGGACATAGCCAACTATTTAAAATCATTTCTAAATCCCAGTTCAGGAATCTTACTCCCCATCCACCCTACCTGTGGCTCTACCAAGCTATCCCTCATTTCTCACTTTACAACCTTTTCTACTCCTGGTTTATGCTTCTCCTAAAGCCAAGTACCCCCACCACCATCTTTCAAACCTCTCATCAGCATTTGCGCTGTCCTGAATTTTGAGAACCATCTTTCATACAGTTGACATTTACAACCTCTACTCTAATATTGGAGTATTTGATGCCAGAACTTCATCTTGCAAGGTGCTTTTCTACGTAACAACAGTTCAAAGGTGAAAAAAGAAGCTGCATTTTTTTAATGTTAAAACTATTTATCGGTCCTTGATATATGGAGCAACTGAAACATACAGGTTAGGAGACTATGGTCTCCTCAGGCAAAACTCCAGACAAAGCTGTCCTGATCCTAACCTGGAATTCCCAACCTGATGGCCTCCCATGTCTGCCATCCCTCAGCACTCACGGAGTAGGAAGTGGCTACTGGCACTAATTCCCTTATTCACACACAGGTAAATCAATACAAACTTTAAGTACCTTACATTTACTCCTCATCCTTGGGGCCATCTAGTACTGTGTCCATCTTATACATAACTTTTGATTTACAAGCCTTAAATATCCTTGGCTTTGCACTAACTTTTTTTCACTGTTACAGGCTGAAAACTTCTACTTTATTTCAGTGGCATAGTCCTCACTGTCACCACAGAAAAATGATACAAATAGTTTGAAAACTGATCATTAATAGCCCCTAATGCAAACAGCACTTTTCATCTCCTGCAAATATTACTTAGTGTATTTGGGGATGCCAACCATATTTGGGATTTCTAAGACTGTATTTTGACCTTTTCCCAAAGCTGTAGGCTTCAAGAGATAGGGCACAGTGAACCTCCATGTTCTCCAGTGTGCAGGCTACACTGCCTGCCCTGCCTTGTTATTGTAAGGCTCCTGATGTTTGTAATTCTCTTCTCCATTAGTTCACCAACTGCCATACCTTCCACTGTAATCAGCATCACTCCAGCCTCCACTTGCTTTCTTGGATTTCTCTGTCCCATTAATCTGAAAACAGATGAGAAAAAGAGTTAATACTGACACTGGGAGCATCATATTAAAGATGTCTTTGGTCTCCATTTGCTTATTGAAACAAGTGACAGCTTGCTTAGACCTTAATGGTCACCTTTTCAGATCATCTTTTAATGATCCGGTGCCAAATCCGTTTTACCTGACAATTTTATTTGCCCTGAGATGCTGATCAGTCAGCAGACAAAACAGACCAGCAATATTACCCCTGGTGTGCTGTGGGAATACAGGCATAAGTAATGTTATAGAAGCCTGTGCAGATGTGGCAATGGTGGTTCAGCCCCAATACTTGTCTATGTTCCCTGTGTAGAAGAAATTTCTGATAAAAGAATAAAATATATAGACATTTAAAAATTGTCTTGAATTTGACTTGTTTTGGATAAAATCATTGAGACCTTGGGCTGGGGTCCCAGCAGTCTGCACACCAGCCCTCTGAGCTGAGGGAGCTCTGTAGTACCAGGTTGTTCCCCATTCTCCTTCTAGGCCATTAGCTATTCCTTTGATTAGTTTGCCTTCATCCCTTGAGGCCCTTCCCTGCACATAATGTGGCATACGTTGTATTACTCTTAGCTCAGTTTTCAGAGCACTGTAGAACATATTTTTCACTCTGGGCTGGTCCAATATGAAATCATATACTTCAGATCTCTTTTTTTCCCCTGATTATTGAAAATAAAATATCAAAAGTAACATAATATATTTTGGTTTCAGCCAAATCTTCAAAAGATGTAGAAAATCCTAATATCATGAAAATGGGAGAGAATTACACCCCAAGAACCCACAGAAATCAAATGTATGATTACATCTTTTGCAGTTCAGGGCTACAAATTAGCCTGTCAGGTTTACATGTAGTGCTTCTGCTGACTTCTGTGGGAATTGCCCATATGAAACTAACAGAATAATCAGGCCCTGAAAATTTGAGCTTGTGTCCCCAAGCATAGCTGCTACATTTTTAACTGATTCAGTGTGAGCTGCATCTGTGACCCCACAGCAACAGCAACAGCTGGGAGTATGTGCTGGCACCCAGAAAGCAAGTGCTGCCTTTCCACATGGGATATACTGCACTCTCCAACCTGCCCTGCTTGTACTTAAAGCACAAACTTAGCTATAATATAAAGGAAATCTTTCTGTTACCATGACATTGAGCAAGAAAATAAACATTATGCTTCCTAGAAAATGAAAAAGAAGGTATCAGAGCATTTTAGAAAGTCTAATGAAAAAGAAGGTGGAGCCATCACAGCACAGTACAGAAGACAAATGAAAACATTGATTTTGATAGTTTGAAATAAGAGAGGAAAATAATTATACAATCTGCATACAGAAAATTACACACTTCAGATACTCTTTGTTCCAAACAAGTATTAGAAAAGCACTATTTTTATTTATATTGTAATCCTAATGTTTTTGAAAAGCTGCTTCTTTTTTTTCCTGAATTCCCCAACCAAATGATAGGATTAGATGTAAAACTCACCAGGTTCTTCCTAGAAAATTAAGAAATTACATTATTTAAATAAAACAAAAACAACCCCAAGCAAAACCAGAAACAACTGTAAAACACCAGGAGTTTTAGGTATTATCTGTAAGACATTGCATTATTCCTGAAAGAAATATGTATCCAAGTATTTTATACATGATACTGATGGTTCAGCATGCCAATTCTTCAAATTCAGGCTGACTAGCCACTTAGGAAAGCAAAAGGTTATGCAGATTACCACATCTGAAAATGAAGGGTACATTAGCAGATAGCATTGCACAAGCACACAGAAGCTGGCAAGAAGAAAATAGAACAGATCCTCAAAAGGAAAACAAAATAATTACAGCATTTCAGATAATACACTTTAAATCAAGTTTTCAGGATACATATCTGATAGCCTTTTTTGTTAAAGTATACAAAGGTGTTGATTTAATATTCAAATTCCAGTCTATATTTTCTGTACTTGAAGTTCTCTTTTTAACAAACAGTAGAGAACTTCCTACGATAATTTGGTAGAAATCACTTCATTCAACAGATACAGGAGTTACAATGACTGCTGGGCTCAGAAATGTTGCACTATTTATGTGCACCTCTCTTTAGGATAGCAGTAAAATCCTAATTCAATATATGCACCTTTAAGGAGCTGACCTTCCACCAGGTTATTATTCAAATATATCCTGCATGTAAGCCCCCTTTTATACTGCTTTAATTTTGATTGAAATAACATGCTTTCTTAAAAAAAAAAAGGGAAAATGTTTCCTCCTTTCAGTTTAGAGTACATCTGTAGTACTGATGTGTTGGCCTGTTTGTTATGTTATATTTGGCACAGACATGGGGGCTTCTTTGCCCTCATTTCACAAAAGAACAAATCCCCCCCTGCTACAGATAGGAGCCAGCCATGGTGTTTTCAGCAAGTCCAATACCCACTTGGTCTGCCCAATTCAATGAAGAAAAATCAGGGCCACCCAACTTAATGTTAATAATTTATTTCATGAAGTTGTCCATTTTAGAGCTGAATTAGTGAAATGCAAGTGAATTGAGCCAAAGGCTCGGACTGGGCTGCCATTTTGACATTCTCATCAGGGAAATGATGCTGTAAACACCCATACTTGATTCACATGCATGGTCTCTTGGTTGCCTACAGTAATGCCCATCTGTTCAGATGGCATCATGCCCACTCAAGTTGCTCAAGGGAATACATGCTGGGCAGTGATTGGCTTAGGTAAGTATTTTTCAAACTGGGTCGGTGTCGACCTCCTTTTGGGAAGGCCCAAGAGGAAAAGGAAACAAAAAGAATTTTCATTTTTTATTTTAATGGATTGTTTTCATTTAACATTCAGAAAAACCACTATAATCTATAAAACATTCAGTAGATGGTTTTGCTAATTCCTTGGTACCTGTGACCCCAGCAAGGAAACATAAATTCAATTGCATTCTCATTTTTTAAATAAATGAGTTTAACCTGTTATAAAGTCACAGTCCATGTAGCATTAAGACCATCTCATCTGCAGAAAAGAAACCTGTCTCAGCAGGCATTGTCACATTCTGACAATTGAACTAATTTCTTCTCTTGAACATTGGTCAACACTCAAAACTGAATTCACAGGTATTATAGCTTGAATTTTGTGGGGAGGGTGGTGAGGAAAGCTATGTCCAAAACTGTAAGACAGATCAAATCTTTGTTATTGTACAAATATGCAGTTCCAAAATATACAACAAACACAAAAATGCAAAGAGATACAGATGAATGATGTGCAGTATCATGAAAGGATTAACCTCTTTTGGTTCCCAAACTGGAATAATTTTCAAATATATTCTTTTACTTCTCCAAAGCCAAAGAAGTAAAGTGAAGCTTTAGTGAAGTGCATTGTACAGTGAAGGCATTGTCTGTCACTTTGCTTTATCAAACAAAAAGGCGGGGGGGGGACATGTCATGCTTTCTTTCTGCAAATAAACTGTGGGGATTTTTATTTAAGAGAAAGCTACCATTAATAGAAAAAAAAAAAAAAGGGGGGGGGGGCCAGCTCCTTTTCATTTGGGAGACAAAAGCCTTTCAGTGCTGCGTCCATGCGCTCTTGACTACTGTTTTGACACAGTGTCAAGATGCTCCCGCTCTGCTCCAGGTCTCAGATCACAGTTGGAGTGTCTTGATACAGTGTTGAATCAGTAGTGTCAGCAAGTCTCAGAGCAGAGTCAAAGAGCCTCAATGTAGCCTCTGAGCAGGTAGAGTCAGAGAGACCTTTCCCCTACACTGAAGTAGGCAGAGGGTGCTTAATTTTTTTTTAATTGTTTTTTTTTAACACATTTCAACCCAGCTGCATCAGGCTCATGCTTCTAATTAACAGTCTGTCTTGCAGTAAGTGATCAGAGTTAACTCTCCCTACCCTGAAGAGCTGTTAAAAAGCAACATGGTATAATGTTAATACTTCCTTGAAAGAGCAAGTCTAGGCACAGGAACAGAGGCTCTGAGCTTCCCTGGGAGGAGCTGACACCATGGAGGAAGTTTGCTGAGAGGCTCAGAACCTGCTTTGGCAGCACCCTGTTCTGGGACAGGAGATAACCCTGCTGTGGTCCTGATCCAGCATCCTCTGCTTCTGGAGACCCAGCTGGAAACATGATTTCCTCTGTCTCTATCTGCAAGCCCAAGCTTCCCCAACATCCACGGCAGCCTTCTCAGCAGCATCAACAGGGGCACAATTTTTCTGACCATTTTGTAAAAGAAAACAATTATTAAAATAAAAATGTTTTGAAGATTGGACATGCAAAGGATTTCTGGGATTCCTCCTAGGAAAGGAGCAAAAGTTCACAGATCCCATGACTACAAACACTGCTGGCCTGAATTACCCTATCTGGGAAGACCAAACCCAGCTAACACAACAGCATTGATTAAAGCATTGACTGCCAAGCATTCTACCAGGCTTGGGATGAGATGGATGCCAGTCCCTAGAAGGGTATTGGAGAAGGAATGAAAAAATATCAGGGTTTAAAAAGAAAATAACTAGACTTAAGAGGCTGGATTAGAAAATGTAAATGGGTCAAAGGCACTTTCCTGTAGCTTTACATCTGAATATGTAATCCAGTCTATTTGGTACGCTAACACCAGGGGGGCACACAGATCAATGTATATAATTTAGGTCAAATGACCACTGCAGTGAAATGCATGAATTCTTCTCACAATTGAGACAAATTTATTCCCGATATAAATGCAGTGATTTCACTGAACTTTTAGCAGAGATATATTTGCTCATTTATATGGCCAGTAACTTCTCAGTAACTTGTTGCTTATGTGCACCATCCCCACATGCAAAGATGTCTCCAATTTCTCATTAGTTTCTTCTCCCTTGTGATTATTGCACTGTTCTTAACATAAAATGTTATTAAAATAGAGGTAAAAATATTTATACAACAAAGCAAAAAAAACATTTCAAAGTCATGTGTTTCAAATTCTAGTTCTGAAAATTGTGTAACAAAATGGCAGTAGAGTCTTTAAGTCATCAGAAAATACAGCAAAAGAAGAGGTGGGAACAGGGTCTTACCTCCCCACAGAAAGATGAAGCTCAGTCAGTGTTTGCTATGTGCCTTGAGATGCTTGGAGGAAGGTATTATTTAAGGTGCAAAGTGTTTCTATGGGAAACAAACAAAGCTCATTGACTGCTGCGGTGACTTTTTTGCAGGCACTTTCACAGCGAGTGGCAGCTGGGGGCTCCTTCTCCTGTGCCCGGGCTGGCCCTGTGGGGCTGTCACAGCCTCCCAGCTGCAGAGGAGCTTCTGACCCATCCTGACCGTGTGCTCTCATCCACCACAATGGGTATGGCTGCCCCAGCGCCCTCCCAGCTGTCTCTGGACGTAAAACAGAAATTAAAGATTGTATCATTCAGGCACAAATTAAAATCTTTACTGGGAGAAACCTGGTAGAAAGTCTCAGAAGAGAATGAATTATGTATTTGAACACTTAAGATTTCCTTGCCTTTATTACAGCATGGGGTCTGAACTCTGCTTTCTTCCCTGCACTTTATTACATGGTTAGAAGTCCCGCAGTAGGAAACTTGCAGTTTGAATTTTGAAGCACCTATAGTGTCATACTTTTTATTTTAATATTTGTCACCAACAGTGCCGACAGATAAAAAGTGCTGGCTCCCCACAGCATGATATGCGGGATTTTCAATAGAGCTACACAATTGCTTTTGCTAAGTGCTTGTGGGGCTCACAGTGCCAAATCCCGCAAATTGCTGCATTCAGGCCACTTTGCAGTGCTGTGCTAAGGCAAGTGATATTAAAAGTTAGTTGGGACATATGCCTAAATGGCTGATTTATTTTTAAAATCCTAAGCAATTGTCTGAAGACATTTCTGCAACACAATTCAATAATTGTAGCACTTTTGAAATGGTCAAAAATTTTGTATCACAATTCATTCTGTGCTTTGCATACAGTTTTAGAAAAAAAAATTAAAATCCTTTTCCCAGTCCCAAAATTTGCTGGCCAAGGAAGTCCCAGAAACAATGTCACCAGGCATGGTGATACTCTATTTATGGATTACGACTTCCTCTTCTTCTCCCTTATTGCCTTTGTTTTTACCCTTAATTTATGAGTATATTGTTGTTCATATCCCAGCCTCAGGTCAGTATTATGGTGTAAATTATTTCATGTGCACAGCAATGCTAAATGTATAATAGTTACACCTGAGGTATCAGGGGAGAATTTTGTATCTCCTGCTTTATTCACAGGTCAATTAAAAAGCTGATTAAACCCAAAAAGTCTATGATGATAATTGTTGGAAATAGACTGGGATGATAATTGGTTTAATGACTGCTAAAGGAGTCATTGGGATGTGTGTCTCTCAAGGAGCCTGAATGGCACTTTAAGAGCTAGATTCATCCTGGGTGTTGGTTGTTGACTTTAATGGTATTACTCAAAAATCTGATTTGGATCAACTTACAAAATATTGCAGACAAGACAAATAATTTTTAAAGGATGTCTCTGCTGAGCTTTGGTGTCTCCCTTGAACTATTCTATTCAATGTCAACTCCTCCAGTACAAATTCTGCCTGTACAGCTTGAAGTAGCTCTATAAGGTGGGAATTCACTGAAGGTTTTATGTTTTTATACATTTTTTTCTAGCTTAGCAGGAAACAAATTCTATATAATAACTAGAAAATGTAGGCCGAGACCATCCTCTGCACAGGAAATTTCACTCAGAGGGTTGGACACCCAGTGAGGTCCTATTCACAGACGTCTCTTTGTATTTTTCTGCCTGGAACCAAAGAAGGGGATTCATGCCAAAACCCTGCAGGATATGGAAATCTATCGGCTGTTCTGTGCTTCTGCATGACTTTCAAAGTGGCTTCTGATTTGGGGAGCCCTAAATTAAGATCCATGGGCTTAGGGGGAGGGGGGGTGTTGGTCTTTTTTTTTTTTTTTTAATAAGGACTCTAAACCTTCAATTCAAATAGCAGTCAGAAACACTCAGTACCTTTGAAGACCCCCTGACATTTCACTCCTCATACTGGGGACCCAGAACAGCAAAAATTTAGACCAAAATTATTTCTCTGGGTTAGTCAGTATTAGAGAATAGTGCAGAAGTCAGAAACCCCTTGCTGCTGGTTCAGTCTACTTGCACTGCCTAGGCTTGAAAAGGTTATAAGGTTATAAATCTTTCAGTGAAAACAATTCCTGCTTCATGCCATCAACATTTCCTAAAGACATCTGTGTAGGGCATCTCTAGAGGAGGCTCCCATTACTAGACCTATGCAGAAGAATAATGAGGAACTTACATCTGGTTTGAAAGACATTAATGAGTCTCTCTTGGATACAAAATATTTGTTCAACACCCTTATGGGCAGAGTAGCACAGTGCTGAGCTGGGGAGCTCTGCCTGAATAGCATGAACTGATAGGTCTCAGAAAAGGAACCACACACAGCTCTGCAGAGAAAGTTGGTTTTTCAGGCCCAATTTACAGCTCTGGTGCTTACGTGTGTCTGCAAAGATTGAATGTGTATATTTCCAGCACCTACTTCTTTCTTTGTTCCAGTTGGGTTTCACATGCTTTGGGGGCATTCTGGATTCCTTAGTGGCTCTTCTCTAATTTTTAGTTTCTATTCTCAATAACCTTTGGACAAAAAACAGGCAAACAAACCAAAACAAACCACAAAGAGCTAAAGATATGTTGACTCTTTTTCTCCCCTCCTCCCTCCAGACTTGCACACAAAAATATTTCAGGGTTTGGGGGTCAGCTTGTTTGAGTTTTTTGCTCTCCCACAGCTTGGTGTATCATTGAGCTAATGATACACAGTCAAGTTACCCAGTTTTACCTAAGTTATCTAGATTACCAAGGGCTCTGATCCTAGTGTGCCTGACATGTGTGAACATTTAACTCCTTGAAGTCAAAGGAAATGGTTGTGCACATATTTGAAGTGCAGCACAAAAGAAGATGCACTTTTCTGTCAGCTTCCAGAAAGGAAATTATGTTGATGTACAATGTGATGTAATGAAACAAGAACTGGAATTACTCTGTGAAATGAAAAATGGAGAGCAGGGATGACTTTGTTCTTAACTGGTATTTTATGCTCTGTTACAGTGCTAAACCCCTCAGTAAGAGAAGGGGCATTGGCATTCCTGTTTACTAGAACAAACACATCTTACCTGCCAGCAAAGGTTACCTCCCTTACTAAGTGGGATGCCAGGTATAGCAGCCTTGTCTTTTCTTAGGCCTTCACAAGGGTAGGACTTCATATTCCTTATGGGTGTCTGCCCTTTGTAAGACACTCCTTCTCAAGCCACACCAAACATAGCAGATTCTCTCATGTCAGATTTACTCCTACCACAGAGCTGCTGTGTGAACACTGGCAAACTGACAACCTGGCAGGCAGTGCTGAGGGAGGGGAAAGTAGAAAAAGCAAAAAAAGAGACACCTGGAATTTGAAAAAAATAACCCAGCTATCAAGGGATCAGATGAGACGTACACATGACAGAGGGTCATCACCAGAACTCTGGGTTTATCTAGCAATAGAACAGGTGGTACAAACCGACAGCAGCCAGGAAATCATGGACATGGCTCTGCTCAGCAGAGAGCTTTCCTGGCCCTGTGCTTGTACCCACACACTCCTCAGCTTCAGCGCTGAAACCAAAGTGGAAGATGGGATTTTACTTAAGACTATTCTTGGCATCATCACAGAAATGATCAGGCCAGTTAGGAAGAGAGAGGCAAAACTATTTAAGCTCATGCACTGCATCCACTGGCTCTGATACAGTCAGGTGTTCTTCTCATCTCCTTTTAGACTATCCACTTTTCTTTCCATTGTCTGTGCATGAGACCTTATTCTGGCTTCAATCAAGGTTTCATCTTCCAGGTTTCAGTGTTTAAGCATTTGACAATATACACTGCAATATAACATACAATGATATTGCATATCTATTGTGAATTATGCTACAGCTGATCAACTGTTAAGCTACAAGACCCTCATGAAGACAAATGTTTCTGGGTCCTACTTTGGGTGAAACTCTGTCTTTCTAATTAGCAACCCAAATTGTTTCTCCTACCTAGAACCTCTTGACCATTTAGTACCATTACAAAAGCATTAGCTGAGCTCATTTGCACACTTCCTTAACCTTCATCACAGGCTTACAGTGACATACCTTATGAATAAACCAGAAAATGTACAGAAACAGCAGTATCTTTCAGAAATGGCATCTGTATTTATAGCTTTCATGCATTTCTTAAGGAACAGTGCCTATAAATTACAACTGGAAGAAGACGCACTTATTTATTGCATTGCTTACAACCAGGAAAAAAAAAAAAAAAAAAAAAAAAAAAGTATGTTTTTTTCTCTCCCCCTTTCCTTTAAATTAAAGGCTGGATGAGGAAGAGCCCAGCACCTCTGGGACACAGCTTCTGCACATACAGCTTGGAGGGCTTGTTTTGCTCGCTCATTTATTGCTAGAAAAGGATCACATGGGGGGACAGGTATCTCTTCCAGTCATGTAAAACTGAAGACACAGATAATTTCAAGTTCAAAGCAAGATTTTAGTTGATACAAAAAGCTTCTGGGGCTAAAGGGTTTTTTTTCAAGAGGTGATGATCTAGCAGGATTTCTCACAGAGTCCTACCATGCACCCACTAACTCTCTAGTCCCTTCTTTTTGAGGATACCATCAGTGCTGTACAGGGCCTTAAATGCCAACACATATTTGGGAACATCAGGAGAAGCAAAATCCAGAAAATGGTCTGGTCTGTACATTCTCCCACAATTCAGTAATACCCAGCACTGTCTCTCCAACCTGCCAGAGCAGCCTAACTAGTGCACTGTGCTAGAAAGACAGACAAAGCAGGTAAGAGCCAAGTGTGGGTAAAACGGTGTAAACACTATCACAGCATCACCTTACCCAGGGGCATTGATGTCCCTAAAGCACTCAGAAGCAGGATTGAAGCGTGATATTTCACAGGGCAGCTGTGACACCCACAGATTTCACAGGGTGGCAAAACCCCCCAGAGCCGAGAGCTGCCCGAGCCTGTCTGCCTCTGTCCCCGGCAGCCGAGAGCTCGCGTCCATCGCGGAGCTCACCCGCTCCAGAAAACCGAATGAAAGTTTCGATTTACAAAATCCAAGGAGCCGCCCCGAAGCGCCTCAGCGGCGCAGCAGATGCCCGCCGTGAGGGGAGGCCGAGGCGCGGGGACAATGGGGCTGTGTGGGAGAGGGCCCCGCGCGGGAACTGTGGGGCCGTGTGGGAGCGGGCCCCGCCGCAGGGACAGTGGGACCGTGTGGGAGCGGGCCCCGCCGCAGGGACAGTGGGACCGTGTGGGAGCGGCCCCCGCCGCGGGCACACAGATGGCCGTGGATGGCAGAAGGACACAGAAGGCAGAGGACAGCCGCGGCGAGCAGCGGGCAGCGCCGCGGGCACGGGCACGGGCAGGG